TCCATGTCATCCTCAACTAGGCCAGGCTGTGGCTCAATCCTGCTAATCGTCATTGCCTGCTCAGGGATGTGAACTGGTGCTCCTTTTCCCTTGTAAGCTATCTGCATTGCCCTTACATAGCAATCACGAGATACGCATTGAGATCCACTTACTTCCCCTATCCCCGTCGGGGTGGGGAACTTCATCTTCAGATGGTATATTGAGGTGACTGCCTTGAAGTTTCATAGTAGTGGTCATCCCAAGATGTCATTGAAAACGGAAGGACGGTCTACTACTAAAAACTCAGTCATTTTGGTCAGCTTGTTGATTTCTCCTAATGTGACCTGGAGCGAGATCATCCCCTTGGGAATCAAATGATCGCCAGTGAAACCGTACAGAGGGATAGAGGCAGGCTTCAAATCTGCCTCGTCCAGTTTCATCTTCTCGAAGGCTCGCTGAAATAAGATATTCATGGTGCTTCCACTGTCCACCAGTATCCTATGGACTTTGCACCGACCTATTTCAGGCGTGATAACAAGAGCATCGTCATGGGGATGATGCAATTGCACCGCGTCTTTCTTAGAGAAGGTGATTTCTTTCTTTCTGTGAACCTTGGTGGGTCGCGGCATCATGCTCATGACACTTATGGCGGTCATGACAAGCTTCCCGAGCATGCCTTTCCTAGGCACCTCGAGAGTTCCCCGCGAGGTGTGGTCCTCTAAAGATGATCCCCACACTGTAGAGACCTTTGCAACCACGACGCCTCTTCCCTGGTTCCTTTTGATTTTTCTCCCAAACAGGACCTGAGTCATCAATATACTTTTTTGAAGTGCCCCTATTTAATGAGGTCCTCAATTGCTTGCTTGAGGGCCCGACACTCATCGATGTAGTGCCCATTATCCCGATGATAACGGTAGTACTTTTTATTGTTTCTGGCTGAGGGGGGATTCTTCATGGGCTCGGGCTCTCCGAGCAAACCGACCTCCTCTGATTTATCCAGAATAGTCGATACCGAGGCATTCAGAGGAATGTATTGACTCGTGTCGCGATCACGATGAGGAATTGGGGCATAAGATTTCTTGGGCTCGTACCGCTGCTTCTTTTCTTTTCGCTAATCATCATTAGCCCATCTGCAATCAGCCCTCCTATTCTTCCCTCGGTTGGAAGCACTACTCGACAGACTATGGTCATAGCAACTAAGAGCTGCCATAGAACTTTTGATCCGGAGGTACTTTTCAATAAGGTTGTAGAAGCGAGAGACGGAAACATCATCCTCAGATTGGAGTTCCTTCCATAAGTCTGTCTGCGGGCAAACTCCCGCAATGATGAGAGTCCGAACAGACTCTTCGGGAGCATTAGCCACTTTGTGGAGCTCCCTATGGAACCTATCTATATAAGATTGGAGGATCCCTCTCCTGTCGTATATTGCTCAGGTAGCTTAGCAGCATTGAGAACTTCCTATTCGCTTGGAAGTGCCTCAGAAATGTCGAGCTCATTTGAGGCCATGAGCCGACCGATCCTGCTGGAAGCGACCTGAACTAGCGCTTGGTATGGGCGGTAAGGGTTACTGCCAAGCAATGACATTTTGCTAAGTCAGAGACTTGGTGGAGTTCCATGAGGTCGTTGAACTCATATAAATGATCCTGCGGATCAGAATTCTCATCGAATGCTCGCATGTCAGGCATTTTGAATCTCGATGGGAGAGGGACAGCTAACACTACCAGAGAAAAGGGAGACGTCTCTGCGACCTACCCTTGCTCATTCTGTTGAGCCTTAAGCTGATCCAGAGCTCACTGTAGTTCCTCAATTTGAAGCAGAGAAGCTACCTGGGGATCACTTTCCGCAACGTGGGTTCGATCCTCACGGTTGTAGTTAAGGAAAGGCCGCAAATCGAACTCTTCCTCACCTCAGCTAGAAGCTCCGGCCAATCTCGACACACGCTGGCTAGAGCTATGTGATTCAGGGAGTCCTCCTGACCTCCGCAATGGTACGAACTGACCCGCGGAGGATGGGAATCCCCTGCACGATGACAATCGAAGTCGTCATTCTGGTGACATTGGGAATCTCCCTGCCTTGCACCTTTATGGGAGTGCCCATGCGTCGTGGCGCGGGACGACTCATGCTGCAACATATCACCGAGTTGCAATGCCACGGGTAATCTACCCGAGGCGCGATGGTGTTCGCTAGTCCCTCACAGCCCTTGGGTCCGCTATGCGCCACTTGCTTTCCCTTTCTTTGACGCGCTGCAGTGCGCGCGGTATGGGTTTTCACTCTTTTTCGCGCTTTCACGCGACCTGCAGGCGTTTTTAACGATGGCACCGCCTTATTGGATTCGGGTGGCATGACCCGATCCAATCGGTTTAGCATTTGGCAGACCATTTGAAAAGTATTAGTGAACCTCTCCAGGTAATTCATGACGGCTGGGTCGAGCCGCGAGCTTGAAGGCATATCCCCCGTGATATTCTGCTGGACTGGAGGCATTTCGGGAGAAGTGTCCTCCTGGATCTAGGGGATTTCTTCATTGCCATGATTGGTTCGCTAAGATTCGAAACCACAAGCCATTTGCTATTGTGGGACCAATTAGTCAGAGATTTTTTTGATGAAGAGTAGGTACTAAATCAAGAGCCTCCTTCTAGCACCAAACTGTTGATGTTTGATTTTGCTACTAACTACTCGCACATGTAAAATACTAAAATGACTTAGAAGTCACACGTGATATGAGGGGATTAAATCAAATAAAAGGTGAAGAGCAATATTTAAAGTGGTTCGGATGCTCTAAAGCGAATCCTACGTCCACTGCTATTGTATTAATATAAGAGAGTGATTAGGTCGCGTTCAGCGAGCTGAGTTACAGTTTAGAGAGAGAGAGAGAGAGAGAGAGCTATTTCAGCGTAAAATCGGCTAATCCCTTCAAATGAAAGGGAAGTTCTCTATTTATAGTGGGAAAGTTCAAGGTAATGATTATGAAAGCTACAAGTGGGTAGCTGTCGTGCAAATCCTTTCTTTGCGTCTCATTGATCACCTGCTCGAGGAATTTCCTTGATTATAGCAGGGCTTTAACATGTGGGCGATCTCCAGCCACTTGCTGGCCTGGCACTCACCTGTTGCACTGACAGGAGCCATGCCACTTGCATTAGGCGCGAAGTGGCCGCACCTGAACAACGCAGAACCCTTTTGAACTCTGACTAACCTTTACTGACGAGGCTCCACGTCAGCCCTACTTTTTCCGACATAACAACTCCTATTTGAGAAGAAACACTCATAGGCATTGTATTTGTGTTATTATTTATCTTTGAGTGGGTGTTGAGATAGCCATTAGATATAAACATCGCTAATCAGTAGCGGCGGCATTGAATAAAATGTAAAATAAAATAGCCATGGATTTTTGGTGACATATAGAAATAGAATAATGAACTAATCCGATTTTCTTGGAACCTCATTTCCCAAATTTGGTTTACATAATACTTGCTTTTCCACTATTCAGGAAAGATGTTTCTGGTCAAAAAATGAGAGCTGCTTGAATAAAAGAATTGTAACACGTACAAAAGCAAGTACTAATTGTGTCCTTTTACTGACCAAACCCAACTTTTTCTCATTAGGTTAGGTGCATAATTTGGTGGTTGAGCGGAAAGATTTCAAAAGTCAGATACATAGTTTATAGTTTAATTCATGTTACAAAATGTATTTTCTTCTACTTATGTCAACTTATGTACGGCTGTTGGCTATTAGGTTTAAGACTTTTGGAGTTGTTTTAGCGGTGGCTTCAATTTTCAAAGATTGGGATGGAAACACGGTTTAAAAGGAGAAGAAGGAGAGGATGAAGTAACGTTATCACGCTCTGGTCAAAATGTGCTTTCATCAATCATCATATGCGAGGAGACTTCTGAAGTTGATGACTTTATTATTTTATTAGTATTCATAAAACAACTACATATATGATATGCCCAAGTATTCACAGAGTGAGAATGTGTATTGGTGCAGCTCCTTCAGTCCTATTATTGGTGACAAAGAAAGGACGTTAAACAACTATGTTATTTATAAAATTCTTTAAATATACAAATTGCATTGAATCTTAGTCATCGAAAAGGACTTAACGAGTAAACGATTATATCAAAATTTTTCTTAAAAAGAATCTGATATATATTGTCAAAAACTTTTTTACTTTTTGATATTTTAATTAATGGACTATTGGTGATTATTTCTTGGACCGAAAATTCATTTTTCGTAAGCAATTATCCTAGCAACCAAAGGAAATACTTGTGGTAGCATTAACAGATGCAACCAGAAATTTCATTATTTCTCTCTCTCTTTTTATTTTTTTATGTTTAATTTCATATCAGACATAGGTTATTTACGGTAGAGAAGAAATCTCAAAACTTTACTTCACTAAATTGTTACAAGCAAGATTAAGATACACATAAAACTAGCAAAAGTAATATTTGAAAAAAAAACAAAAATCAAATTTGGAATTTGGAACTATAAAATATTAAAATCCAATAGATGCTAGCATATCATGATAGCATCACAAAGTAATGCAGTCCCAATTCCCAAATTATGGGAACCCATTCATGAACAGATAAATGAAATATCTGCCATACATATATATAAAGACTGAAGAGGTAATGCATATAGGGATCTCACATGGACTCACTGATCGATAAATCCTCCAACTGTTGTTCTTAGGACGAATAGATCAAGACCAATAATTGCTTTCCGCACATGTAGTTGCCAAATTATCTTGATATTTTATAAGACACCTAGCATATATATCAATTATGAAGAATGGGCTCATTATCTTGATATTTTATAAGACACATAGCATATATATCAATTATGAAGCATGGGCTCATTATCTGCACAATTCATTAATATATAGCATTTAATTTACTCCAATCATCATAAATAAATAATAAGCAATTACTCAAAATGAAATATAGGAAAACAAAAACAAAAACAAAAAAAATCAAAAAAAGAGAAAGAGAAAGAAACTAGAATTTAACAATCTGTATTCCACTCATGAGTTGAAAGTTACATTGAGAAACGAAAAGGAAAATATCACAACTCCGTCACAGTTGTAAGAAGGGGTTTCAAACAGAAGCCAAAGAAGCAAATTCCACAATAACCCTAAAAAAAACACTACATCCAATCTCTTGAGAGAATGCCTGTTTATGTCTCTGTAGCAATAAAGACCATGATTTCTTTTGATAAAAGAAGAAAGATTGAGATCCCATCATCCTCGGAATTAATAAGAATAATGAAATCTCGTACCCCCGTCGAAAACCCTAGGGTAACGTAAAGCCGTGGCGATTTCTTGTGCAGGATGTGGGTAATTCAACGCGGTTCATTGACATAAGTGAACCACGCAAAAACAAGTAGAAAAAACCCTCCGGCAAATCGAAACGTGCGGGAAAACAAGCGTTGAAAATGGTGAACATGGTCGAAAAAAAAAGAGAGATTAATTTAGAGGCCCAATTTTCTCTCGTTAGATTTAAAAAGTACTTGATGTGCTAACGCATCACTTATCCTGATATACACATACTTCTGATATACAGGTCGATAAGACGAAAATCCTCCATTCTTGATTTGAGCTTAGTCTATCATATCACATAAACTTCAATAAAGCCATTCTTAGGTCTTTCACGAGATCCTTCATTGTCATGCTGAATTCTTCATTCTTCTGTAAAAATTGAAAAAAAAGATTGTTTGTTAATTTGACTGTAATACAATTATTAATTTATTATCCTGTTTAGACTAAAGGTAAAGAATTTATATATTTTAAGGTTCATTACCTGAGCGATTATGGTTATATCAAGAGTGGAATTTCCGAACGGCAAGATACTGCTATTGACAATGGAAAGATGAAGATTCTCAATTTCGGTTAATATTTTTGGGAGGAATCCTTTCTGTTTCTCGAAGTTGATTCGGATGAGGACATCTTTATCTGAAGCTCTGGCTTCAATTTCTGGGAGTGCTGCGTCGGAGGTACCATCAAAATTCTCATCAGACGACGAAATTTCATCTTCTGAAGATACCTGAGACTTCTTCACGAAAACCACTGATTCCACCGTTCTCTTCTTGGTCTGTTCCTCAAGGACTTTCACACGTTCTTGAAGCTCTTTCATGTACCTTATAGCGTCTCCAAGAACTGAAGCTTTGTCCATCTATAGGCCAGGAACAAAAGAAATTAAAATAGAGGTATCAGACAAATTATTAAAGGTGAAATTTAATGATATTAATTAAGAAGAAGAAGGAAAAAAAAATATATATATATATATAGTACCTTCTTTAGGTCAGGAACAATAGCTGAAAGAGCTATAAATCGCTGGCTAAGCTTTTCTCTTCGCTTTCTTTCAGCCATAATGTGATCATGAGCCAACGAAGGAGTTCTTGTCATTGAATAACACTTTTTAGTCCCATGATTAACTCCTGTAGCATAATTTTGACTCTCCAAGGAATTCTTTTGAGCCAAATGCTGGAAATGAAAATTTCCGGAAGTCACTGTCTCGTCCTTAGGCGGCTTCAGGGAGCAATTCGATTTCTCAAAAGAAAGGAAGTGAGAGGTTGGTAGAGAATTATTTGAAGATATGTGCTCGGTGGTGGTGCTAGAGTTCCAGCTGTTAGTCGTCTTAAGTTGCTTGGTGGGTCGCTCAAAGCTTGTTTGAGATGTTTCATTTGAAGAACCACTAAAAGTTGTGGAACTGTTTTTGGTTGTGAAAATTGGGTAAGAGGAGTTGCTCTCAGATGAGAATGATTGTTTTAAATTACCTTCCAGTGCAACTGCTATGTCTTGTGTGTTGGTTAGCTCTGAAAGAGAATCCATATGACATTGATGAATGATGTTGTACTCATCCATTCCCTGAAAATCCCAAAAGAAATGTTCAAGAAATACTCATTCAAGAAAATGAAAATAAACTTCAGCTTTAATCAAAGATATCAACTGGTTCCAACCCCTCATGGCATCTCCATGGCCAAAGGGCATTCTTTCCCATTTTCTAATTATTGTAGGGTTTAGTAGGGCTCCAGTTTTGAAGCCAGGTTTCCAAAGAAAACGCTAAAGGACTTCTGTATTTTTAACCAAAAAAAAAATCAAATCAAATCAAAGAGATCAACTATGATCTTACCAGTTCAGTTAACCATTTGGCTGATGACACATCCATTTTTTGCAGCTTCGTTATTGAATTTCAGAGGTTATCAATTTGGATGATCCTGAAAAGAGCAGAACACGGATTGAATTTAATACATGTGAAGACATAAAGTATGTCAAAAACTCCAAGAAAAATTAGACATAAATTTACCTTCTTCTTCTTCTTCTTCAATACCAAAAACTGGTTATTCTTTTCCAAGAAAGTTGAAAATAAGCTTCTCGTTCTCTTACTCTTATAGCTCTTGTGATCCATCAATTCTGCGAACCCACGTGTGAGAGTTTTGTCTTTAGCTTCTCATTCTTTATTCTACTCTCTCATTGACGTGAGATGGAATCATAAACACTTGAATATAAAATAATTCCAACTTGATATGGAAAAAGATTACGAATCAACCCGAACCATTAAACAAATAATATGTATGCTTTCATAGCCTACCAAAATTAAACGAGTAATAGGAAATTTGTTGAAATAGTCATTTAAGCCTCCATCAGATTTTAAATATTGATGATGCCCAGTATGATTTTATTTAAATATATTCCCACTGGAGCTAACATCACAGGCCCACCTCATCAATGATTGTAACTGAGCTCATATTATGAAGGTAACTTCATTTTTTTCATCGTGTGAAAAGGGAGAAGATCCAAAAGGATGGGGAGACTTGCAGGTGTAAATTGACATTGAATTAACATATAAAAATCTTTACCATTTCATCAAAGACGCAAGTTTTTTTGGTATAAAATATGCATCTACTTTGGTTGGTTAAGTTGAAACTTACAGGTGTCTTTTTTATGAATCAAAGTCGATAATAATTCACTGTCAAAAGAAAGTTAAGAATGAACTTTAATACTATTTTGTAATAGTTCCAATTCAACCAACTAGCGAATACTATCCCTTCTGGCCTTTTCACATGATATATATATATATTTTTTTTTTGTCAGGGAGGGGGGAAGGTGGAGAATAATCATACATAAAATATAATATGATAAAAAATATAAAGGTTACAATTCTTTTTTAAACAGGATAAAAGTCTCTTACTATTTATAATATTCGTGTCACATAATTCAACTGGTTCAAGGAATGGTTATAATCTACACTTGATGTTACCAGCACAATATTAAACTTGTTTCAAGTGGAATTTAACGAAATACTTAAGGGAAGAACTGGAGATGAGTTGGTCAGAAATACAAATAGGAGAAGGGCATTAAATTTTAATTCAAAGGTTTGGGAAGTGAAGCCCTTCTTCCACATCCTTCGTAGAAGTAAAAAAAGGTGAAAACCCTTTCTAAAAGAGAGGGGGAACTTTCTTTTTGTGCGATTAACAACTATAAAGTTAGCTGTTGCTGGTGACGTTCAACGACTATAATTGGGTTTTATGATAATCTTTTTGGGTTAAAGATGCGAAAAAATTGTACTGTTTTTTAACTGTCGCGCAAGTTTTAGAATTATTTTAGCAATTAACAAATAGGATATTTCTTGTAGATCGATCAAAAGCTAATTGATTTTGCAAGTTAAAACATGAATATAAATTTATTTTCATTGAATTTAGTCAAAATGCATGTGATAACTATTAATCCAGCATATCCCAAAATTAATGGGAGCAACTAGCCTTCCGAGCACAAGCTTATTGATTTTGCAAGTAAAAAAAACATGCATAAATATAATTAAAAAGTACAACTGAGAATTAGCATATAGACTGGCGTGCTTAATTTCATGCGTGCCGTTGAAGTATTTTTGTTGGTCTCTGCTGTAATTATCATTTCCAAGAAATAATAGGAGGGTGAAAATTAATCGTGAAATCAAAGTATAATATTAAGAAGAACTAAGGTGGCAATTATTTCATGTTTAATTAAGCACGTGATAAGTTTTACAAGCCAGCTAGAACCAATTAATTTAATTAGTTTTGTATCATATGACGAAATACAACGCAGAATGGCATACATGTGATAAATTTATATGCGTGTAATTGCATTAAAGTGGGCATTAATTTTTATTTTATTTTATTTAGTTGAGGCCCTCAACTATTATTTCTCTTAAACCACACAAGTACTGTATCTCCATAGAAATCAAGCATATACTAGTATGTATGCCATGTTCAATTATTTTTATCAATTATCGATTGCCAAGTTGTGCTTCTTATAGTTATTATTATTTTTTTTTTTTTCTTATAGTTGTTATTAATTTCTTTAATTCACTAAAATCCACGGAATTCAATTTTTTTTTCTTTTTCTATTTAAAACTGAAATCAACGAGAACTTTCACCTTCAACCTTGGTTTAAACAGCAAATGCCCGTAAAAGAACTAAATCTCCCTTAGACAATAAACGCATAGATTATTCCAAAAATCTTATCCTAAATGATATGTAATCCTGTATGGTATTGAAAGAATAATTTGATAAATGATATATCCATAATCGGATGATATGTCATTCGTGGTGAATTTTTTAAAATACATTTTGGGTTAGTACAACATTACCTATTTATAATAAAATACTTTTAATATTTTTTTTTTTTTATATATAAGTAATTCAGTATTAAAAGGAAATTTTAGATATACATAACCTTATCTACACACAAGTTTAGTTGAAATTAAAACTCAAAAACGATAAATGAGATTGAGGTTAATCATGGAGATTATGAGATTTTTCAATTCCCGAAATGTAATGGTCTAGAAGAAACCTAAAATTTTCCAACTTTTAATAGTTATAACCTGTTGTCTATTAATACCAATCCTTCAACCTGCAAGATCAGCCACAAAACAAAACAGAATCTGCAAGAACAAAGCACAAACACACAACACAAGATATACTGTAAAAAGAAAAAAAAAAAAAAAAAAAAAAAAAAAAAAAAAAAAAAAAAAAAAAAAACACCAGATATACTGTGGTTCGCTTGTTCAAAATAACAAGTTACATCCACGTTGAACTCTAGAATATGGAGCTCGCTGCCTAGTATTGATTTCCTCAAGATTACACTTTACAGAAGAATCTTCTTCACTGATATTCCCAGAAACAAACACTCACTCACTTCCCTGTATCCCGCAAATCCTAATAACCCTAGAGTGTTCTATAACCTTCAAGGAACCCCTGCCCTCTAACACAACCTAGATAGATTCACACAGAGAAGAAACCCAGAATGAGCATGAAACCCTAACCCAGACCAACGAATTTTACAGAGAAAACCAAAAGAATGCCTAAACTCGATTGCCCTCAATACTGAATAGTCCCCTTTTATACTGTTGACTTCTGAATGCATTTGAGCCGTTGGATTTTCTTATCGTTGATGGCTGAGATTCATTTGGAATAATGAAAACAAACGATAGGTTTTGTTTCCTGGTTAAACACGTCGTATGCTTCACTTATTAACAATCTCCACCTTGAAGTATGTGGAAGTCGTTTCAGCAAAGTCAGTTTAGTTGAGCAGCGAGCATTTCCATACTCCTTTTTAGTTCTGATTTTGGTTATCCCACATGTAATAAGTTCAAGCAGTGCTTGAACTTTGCAAGTGTCACACCTTGGTTCCCATGTCTGCCGGGTTGTTTTCAGCTGGGATCTTCTGCAGGTTCACTTCTCCTTTGGAGATCATATCCCTCACAAAATGATACCTTACGTCAACATGTTTTGTTCTCTCATGTACACGGATTCTTTCCAGATGGATGGCACTCTGACTGTCTGAATAGACGTCACAGTTCCATCCAGCACTTGGCCTCTTTCAGGAATCCTTGTAGCCAATGGCTTCTTTGAATGTGTCGGTTACGCCACGTATTCAGCTTCAGTTGTGGACAAAGCTACCAGTGGTTCAGTTGGACTTCCACCTGATGCAGTTTCCTCCAGAGTAAACTGATATGCTGTGTTGGATTTCCGCGAATCTCTATCACCTGCAAAATCAGAGTCTACATACCCAACCAGATCAAGTGTGGAGTTTCTTTACACAGTTTAGACCAACATTTTTTGTACTTTTATGTATCTTAGTACCATTTCAAAGCTTCCAGTGATCACCCCAGGGTTAGACATGAATCTACTTAGAAGTGATATTGAATAAGATAAATCAGGTCTTGTCTGATCATAGAGTACATAACAAAACCAATGGCATTTGCATATGGTATTGTTTCCATTTTTAGTCTATCAGGTCTGTTTTGGGCTTTGGGCTTTACTAAGGATGAAGTGACTTGCTAGGGGCATTGTGGTACACTTAGAGTCACTCATTCCAACTTTAACACAAGTTTTTACAGATAAGGCATCTGATGCAATTTTAGGCTGTAATTCTTCCGTTTCTTTCTATAGCATACCTAAAATTTTCTTAGCACAACCCAAATCCTTCATTGTCAAATTCAGCATGCAATTTCCCTTTCAAATCCTCAATTTGGGCCTTAGATTTACTAATTATAGCATGTCATCAACGTTAATAACAAGTATACAGGATTTGTATTCGCATGTCAAAATAGAAACAGTTATCATGCTCACTTCTAGTAAACCTATGCCTACTATAAGGAGTCAAATCTTTTGTACCACTGCCTAGGTGACTGTTTGAGACCATACAGGGATTTATGCAACAACATACATATCAGGGAACCTTTTATCCTTAAACCCTATAGGTTGACTCTAAATCTGTTCTTCTAATTCCCCATGCAAGAATGCAGTTTTAACATCTAACTGCTCTAACTCAAGGTCATAATGGGCTACTATAAAGCATCAATCTTATAGTTTTAAATTTAACAACAGGTGAGAAATTTTCAGTAAAGTCTATACCTGCTCACTGGGTGATCCTTTGGCTACCAGTCTAGCCTTATACCTTGGTGATCAGTTTTGTTTATGCCCTCCTTTAGCTTGTACAGCCACTTA